AAATGGAAAAGATAAGACTTCTTATTTTATATTCTAGCTTGTCAATATCTGTAATTTGAGATTCTAATTCGTATGAAACTATAGACTTAGTATTTTGACTTTACAAACATCTAATTTGAACAAACCATGTGACACACAAAAATCAATGTTTATATGTTTTTTAATATTTATTTTTAAATTAAGACATTGAGTAATGTATAGTACTAAAATGTGAATTATATTCTAAAGTTTGATACCAAATTATTGACATAAATTTATGAAATAGTAGTTCAACAAAATTTTGAACATGAGTCAACAAACGAGATAACATGGCCTTTTGTCCATGACCTGTCTCGAAAGGGTTAAGTGATCACTGATGAACAGACAAAACAATGAGAATTCTATCTCACTTTCATAAGTTTCCAAAACTAAGAAACTTTTCTAGCGAGTCAAACTGACATGGTAAGTGTGTAAGTAAATGTAATTTATGTATACAACACTTGTAATTTCTACACACTCCTTCAAACTCTTCCATAAACCTGGTGTAAATTAATACTTGGAACTCTGGTAGAAGAAACGTGATATAAGTTAATACTTGGAACTCTGGTGGAAGAACGTGATATAAGTTAATACTTGGAACTCTGGTAGAAGAAACGTGATATAAGTTAATACTGGGAACTCTGGTGGAAGAAACGTGATATAAGTTAATACTGGGAACTCTGGTGGAAGAAATGTGATATAAGTTAATACTGGGAACTCTGGTGGAAGAAACGTGATATAAGTTAATACTGGGAACTCTGGTGGAAGAAACGTGATATAAGTTAATACTGGGAACTCTGGTGGAAGAAACGTGATATAAGTTAATACTAGGAACTCTGGTGGAGGAAACTTAATGTAAAAAGATAATAATGTTTGTTTGGTATAAAGCTACACAATCACCAAAGGGAATCAAAACCCAGTTTTAGTACTTAAAGTCTGCTAACTTACCACTAAAAAATTGAAGGAAGGATGATAGATTAAGTATTTCAATATCTATGGATTTTATTGGCCTAATTATTGTAATAACAGGTATAATATAATGAAACAACCTTTAGTATCATTCTAATTCTAATAATTGCAAGGCTTTCACCATTAAAATGTCAGTGTTAAATTACATCAGGTTTCCTTTACCAAAGTTCCCAATATTAATTTACAGCCCCTAGTGGGCAGCATAATAGTACCAAGAGAAAGAACATGCATACACCCAGAAAAAAGCTTTCATGCCCTACACTACAAAAACTATGGACTTTTATATACTGAAATTTTGTTACATTATCACTGAACACAGTAAAAATAAATTAAAAACTTAACCTTACCTGATGATCCTAAATGAAATTCTTTGATTAAAACATCATTTTCAAAATATGGGTTTTCATCAAAGAAGAATTTGATTCTATAGCCAGACTTTATGTCTTCAAACTCCTCCACCTCCAACTTAGTCAAGAAATGTAAACACTCCTCCTCCTCCTCATCAAGAACAGCAGAGATTTGTGGATGGTTGACAAACTATTGTTCCATTAAGGGAAAATCATGTATAATGTGAATGAGTCACATTTGGGAATACCGCTTGCTTTAATACCACTGGTAAGAGTGAAGTTTGTTACTTTAGATTTATATTAGTTTGAAATGTTTTAGCTACTATTATATAAAGAGAAAACAAAAAAAATTACTTCAGTTTTACATTGTTTGAAGAACGTTTTAAAACCACATTCTTAGGACTATTTCACTTTATTTTGCTAGCATTAGCAAGTTTTGTTTAATTCTGACTTGCTGGGAAAGTTGAATATTGTAAGAGCATGACAAGACAGAGCTGCGAGATTTTGAAAACTTTTCAAATTTTTCTTTATCCTAACAAGTATAACATTTTTTCATATCTGCTTTCTGTTAATTTCATGGGTTTACTACTGGACCTGTAAGAAAAGTAATACATCATAGTGAGATGCTTCCAGTACAGCTTAGAGTTACAGTGATGGTTAACCACAAGAACTTCCTCATTGAAATTAACTTAAGTATTGTTTCCAAAGTTGTATGTCTTAATTATTTTCTTTATATGTATATACACATCAAATAAAAAAATATATAAAACAAAAAATTTAGCACTGAGGACATTTGTTTAAGTAACCCTACTTTTTCTCATCATGCTGATTGTCCAAAACACAATTCATGTAGCTTTCAAACACAAAACAATATATCAGGCACTGGAATAGAATGTTCCAAAACTACTATAATTTATCTGGCTTTCTAACTAAGCTATAAATAAGTTGAAAACTTTCGTAACTGCTTAAAGAAATAAACTTAACACACATTAAGCTTTCTTTACAAACTAACACTTTTGATAACCAGAACTGCACAACCTTAAGTTTCTTGTGGATTCAAATATACTATTTTATTGGTTATAAACATGCCCACCAGCCTAGTAGGCACAAGTGAATTCTCTGGTATATTTAACAAATTTATTGATATTTCAAGAAATAAAAAAGGTTGAAGATTCAAATTATGTATTGATTACTTTTCAGTATTTTTAGTTTGTATTTCTAACTGGTAGAGTGTTATAGAAGCTATAATAGAAGAGGAGAATTCAAAGGCAAATATGTCACACAACACAGAAAAGTGATGACTTTGAGTTCTTTAAACATTCCGTTTTGAAATGATAACTTATATATTATTAAAATTTGAAAAATAAACTAAGTTTTGATGGCAAGTTTATTGACATAAATTGATAATAGTTGTTTTGATTAAATTTTAAACACAAGTCTGTAAAAACATTGTGACATACACACTTTGACCCACCTGTATACATATGATTAATGCACTTATGCTTGCATGTTTCTTGACGTGGATTTTATGTCTTAATTCTGAGGATTGTGAACTCATTCTAGAATAGGATGATGAGTGTTTTTATTCATGAAGTGACAAGTGCTGTTAACAATACTACAGTTTATGTTATTTGGTAAATTTTAACAGCACAAAAGTTACGGGATAACATTCATGTTACCAACGTTTCCTGACAAACAGATATATTAGATACACAGTCTTGTGATATTGCTTTTTCACATGTTATAGAATTTTGGTGAAACTACTGAATCAAGATCAACTCAAACTCCAACAGCTAACTTACATACATATAACATGCAGATCACTTAAGATATGTTCCTTTGGAAACTTAGAAGGCTTGCAGAATTGTAACAGTAACTTGGTTACTATGGATGGAACCAATAAAATAGTGCTAATAATATCCTATTATATCCTCAGTAATATTTTAAACTGTAGAACTGATGACATTGGTGGTATGTGGATGTACGAAATAAAAACTTTAGCAGAAAAATTTAATTCAAACAAGCACAATAGATATTCCAGAATGTCATGCTACGACTCAAGAATAGGATACGGCATAAAACTGCAGCAGAGAAATTTAATTAAAACAAGCACAATAGATATTCCAGAATGTCATGCTACGACTCAAGAATAGGATACGGCATAAAACTGCAGCAGAGAAATTTAATTAAAACAAGCACAATAGATATTCCAGAATGTCATGCTACGACTGAAGAATAGGATACGGCACAAAG